ACTGATTTCCCGCCTCCATAACTTGGCAACAAAATCGATCTGAAAAGCTCAAAACACAGCCAATCAAAGCTGAGATCATGCGCTTTCTTGTAAGGCAATTAGATAGCCTCAACTCGATGTATTAGAAAAATGCCGCCAATCAGAAGAAATATGTGACTCTTTTTGTGGACCAGAGTAGTACCACTCAAAATAGTTCGCAACGTATGGAGGTAGAGAGTTCAATAAGCCGTCAGTTCATTTTCTACAGATGCCAAAGGCCACAGTCGCCGTGGTCCATGTCGCTGCTGGACGAGTTGTTGCTGATTAACGGTTGCAGGTACCGCCATCGTCGTTTGGTGCATGGCTTGCTCGTCCGCCGCCACGTCTTCTTCGTCATCAGCGTCCTGGAGACTAAGGTAGTCCCGCAACTCGGTGAGTCGGGTTCATCCTACATGCCTTCATGTCGAAAGTGAGCGTGAAGACGCAAATGTCAATACGTTTTTCTTAATTTAGGCTAGGTGGGCGACTCTGCTAGACGAACCCACGGATCATGTCGAACTCGGCTGTTGCAATCGTTGACGGCGGTCGTCGGACAATGTTGCGGAATGATAAACTTTGACAGGATGACCGCGATGGTACATAAACACGTGAACTCATACAAACTAATAATTTTGTGACATCATTTTTCATGAAAAGATACAGTATATCAGTACAAAGAAGTCAAATTGACAATCATTCACAACTTTAAAGTAGGATGTCTTTAGGGTACTCCCTCTGTCCCACAATACTTGCGCAGATGAGAAAATGGACGTACGGCTCCTTGAAAAAAATTCGAAAACCTTTCAAAATATTATACTATGCATCAATTTCTGGAGTTGTAACGATACAATGGACCAATGAAAACATGGGAACCAAATGTCTCAGAACCAATCAAACGACAAGATATGCCAAATCTGACATTTCCAATCGATTCCGGAGGGGGGTTTACCTCAGGAACCCTCCTACCGAGCCCAACAACTTCACACAACATGCAACGGTTAGCTTTACTCATCACAATCCAAGCAGATTGGATCAATACCAACTTCAGCCATCAACTCATCTACCATTTCGTCGTCACATAGGACAAGA